TAGAACATTCTTTTTCGATCTTTCATCTCACTAAATTCTACAGGCCTTTGAAACTCAGCTCCTACTGACATTTTTCAGCATGCCCTCCCTCACCCTTACAGTCACAACCCTCATTTGTGTTCTTGTAGCACCTGTGTATTCTTCCATCTTGGTACTTAACACAGCACCCTGTCATTGTTGATATATGTGGTGTATGTTCCTATCTCCTCTACTAGACTGAAAGTAACCAAAAGCAGATTCTTTACTTCATTGCTTTGGAATTGTTAAAACCCAGCCTGTGGTCTGGTAGGTCTTAGTTTAATAAGTGTTCGTGACATGAATAAATGAGCTTTTTGGCCTAATAATGATGCTTTCATTTTCTAGGTACATGGTTCAGTGGCCTGGTGGCCGAATCCTGCATCGCCATGAACTAGACACCTTCCTTGCACAGGCAGTATCTACCCAGCTTTATGAACCAGATCAGCTGCAAGAACTGAAGGTGATTTGGGACCAGCAGTTAGCGTAATGGCTATGTCGCTGGACTCCCATGTAGTCGACCGCGGTTCGAGTCCCGGTAGCTTAAAACTCACACTGGGCGCATGTGCATGTGTGCCCAAGGTCCCGAGAGGAGAATGGAGGAGAAGGGATTGCGGTGTGGCCATCCCCGCTAGGGGATGATTTCTCGCTTTCTGTCTCTCTGTCTGTCTGGCGAGCGCACACACCCTATAGCAAAAACCTCTCCAAAAAAAAAAAAAAAACAAGAACTGAAGGTGATTTGATTCATACTTATTTAAATTCTTTCTTTTATGAGGTCATAGCTTTGCTTTAGGTCCTTTTGTTGTTGTTGTTTTCCTAGAGCTGGGGAAGACAATAAATTCTGCAGGTAAATGATATACTTTAGCCAAATATTTATGTCTATTAATAAAATGAAGTACCTGCTATGCTGCTTTCATACTGATGGGTATTAATGGACAGAAAAGATGGATATCTTGTGGGGTCAGCAGGTAGTGTGGTGGTTGATGGCACTGGACTCTCACATGGCCGACCGCAGTTCGAGTCCCAATCTGCTTGCTTTCTCACTTTCCCTCTTTCTTTCTCATTCTGTCCCTCCCTGGTCAAATTAAACTAACTAAAGAAAAATAAATAAACTTAAATAAAATCATTATTTTAAAAAGATGGATATTTTGCAAGGCAAATAAATCATGGCTCATTGACCATGGTAATATTTTTGACCCTTACTAGATACACTACAGGGGACTTATCCTGGTGTTCCCTGCTTATCTCTAAGTAAATTTCCACCTCCCCCTTTTACTAATATAAGGTGCTTTAAAAGGTTGCAGGAAAATTAAATTAAAATACAAGTTTGTTTTAGTACAAAAAAATATTGAAATTCATGCATAGGTTTTTTTACTTTTAATAATATGAAGTTTCCATGAACTTTTTGAGGTTTATGGAACTAATACATATTGTGTATTAAGAGGAAGTATAGGGACCAGCAGTTAGCGTAACGGCTATGTTGCTGGACTCCCACGTAGTCGACCGCGGTTTGCGTCCTGGACCCGGTGGCTTAAACTCTGGGCGCTTGTGCATGTGTGCCCAAGATCCTGAGAAGAGAATGGAGAAGAAGGGATTGCAGCGTGGCCATCCTCCCTGGGGTTTTTTTTTTCTCACTTTCTGTCTCTCTGTTTCTCTCTGTCTGTCTGGCAAGCCCACGCACCCTATAGTGAAAACCTCTCCAAAAAATAAAAAAATAAAAAAGAGGAAGTATAGAAAGCCATAAGGAAGGAAGTAAATCTACAAGATAACTAAAGGTAGAACATAGTAGCATAAGGGTAGGCCCCGAAGCCAGTCTACCTTGGGTTTGAATCCTGGCTGCATCACTAACTAGCTATGTGACCTTGGGCAGGTTACTTAACTTCTCTAGCTTTAGTGTCCTTACTTGTAGGATTTTTTAAAGTTTATTTCTTTTTCTAGAGAGAGTAAGAGAAAGAGAAGAGGGGAGAGGGAAAAAGAGAACAGGTACCCTCAACAGGGTGTCACCATGCCTTCATCCTACCACCAGCCTTGCAGCTAACCAGACTCATGGGCTTGCCCAGTGAGTTTGAATTGACCCTGGATTCAAACCCAAGTTCTTTCTGTAGGCCTGTTTCAGCATCACACTGCAGCACCCTACCACCTACACCACCATGGTTGACTCCCTAGTGGTTCCTTTTGCAGTAAATGTATTATTGCTTTAGTCCTAAAATAGCTACTGATACCATACTACACCTAGGAGGGGACCGACAAATATTTCCCCCTTTCCTTTTGAAGCCATCTAACACACTTATATGAGACAAGCACGAAAAATTTTGATGCTTTCTTCCATTCTTTTGTCATGCAGTTTCCATAGTTAAAATATTGTTTATATCATTATAGATTGTAGTTCTCAAGTTGACATAATACATAATTTTCTTTGTCTTAAAACATTTTAGTAAATTATATGTACCATTTAATTATTATAATGTTGACCATTTAGGTTTTCCAATTTCCCCTGTTATATGTAAAGTTGCAATTAACATCTTTATGCATAGAGCTTTATTCACATCTCTACTTCCTTAGAATAGATTCTTAAAAGTGGAATTTCTGAGTTCAATGTGAATACTTTCAAGGTTCTTGATATATATTGCTTAATTTTTAAATATATTTCATTTTAATTTCTTTTATGCATTCAGTCACTATACATCACTTAGCTTGTAAAGTGAATTTTCACAACATGAATACACTTCACACCAGTCCAGTTAAGGATACTATATGTGTTTTCAACAGATAATAATCAATTTCTGTGTTCCAATAATGTCTCGCCTCTCTGTTATTCTCCTTAATGTCTTTCCTCATACCGTCCTCCTTCTCGCACCCTCTTCCCATACTGTATTCAGTATCCATAACCATTTTCCATGTTTATATATCTGCTATAGAGTGCAGACAGTCTGTATATATTAAGTGGAGACATACAATGTCTCTCTTTCATAGTCTGGCTTGCTTCACTTAGCAATAAATCTTCCATATTCGTCCACTTTCTATTAAAAGTCAGGGAATATATTGCTTAATTTTAATATACATTCCTCACCAGCTTTATATGAATGTCCATTTATTTCACCGAGTCCTAATGAGCATTAAATGTTCTTTAAGTCTTTGCTTTTTGAATCATTTCTAATTTGATAGGTGGAAAAAAGGTATCTCAAGTTGGTGTCTTTTTACTTTTTCTTTATTTGCCAGAGGGTGTGCACACTCACCAAAGGGAGACAGAGGAAGAGGAGGAAGTACCTCCCATGGTCATACCACAATCCCTTCTCTTCCATCTCTCCCTCCCTTTGGTATTTAGAGTACACAAGCACATATACTTGCCATGTTTTTCAAGCCACCAGGTCTAGGACTTGAACTACATGGTAGGTCAGCCATGTGGGACCTGACTTTCTTAACCACCAGGCCATGGGTTGGCCCAAATCAGTGTCTTTTTAATGTTGTAATGCATATCTTTCAAATCATCTCAGAGAAAGAGAAGGATAGAAGCTGCTTGTGCACTCACATGTCTATGTTGAAGGGCAACATGTTCAGAGTTTTAACTGGAAGAATCAGCATGACAAGAATAAGAGTAAATGCTTCCAATAATGGTAGTTTAATATGATTTTTCCTCTGTGGTGGTTTCAGATTGAGAAACTGGATGCCCGAGGGATTCAGCTTGCTGCTCTCTTTATGAGTGGGGTCGACACTGCTCTGTTTGCTAATGATGCCTGTGGCCAGCCAGTCCCTTGGGAGCACTGCTGCCCCTGGATTTACTTCGATGGCAAGCTGTTCCAGAGCAAGCTAATTAAAGCAGGCCGAGAGCGAGCATCCCTGGTAGAGCTCTGTGATGGCCAGGTACTTGCATGTTGGGTAGCTGCTAAAGGCAAGCTCTAATCTGCTGTGAGGATGAATGGGAAGGGAAGAAAAAACAGTAGAAATATTGGGCAGGGGACCAGAAGCAGGAAAATGTGTCTGTCCTTAACATAACTAGTCAGCATTGGTCCCAGAGGCCCATAGTCTGATACCTACTTGTTATAAATCATGTTTTTTATGAGCTTAAAGTTCCCATATCCCCATTTATAGTCTTGAGTATCTGTTTCCCATAGAATACTCAGATATAGTACATGCCTTTCCTCCAACTCCTAGGATTTCATTTCCCTTATTTACAAAACTAGTAAGCCACTTTCGCAATTGATGACATTTTTTGTAAAGGAGTTATGTTTGACAATAGAAGAGGATAGTAGAGTAGATGACAGAGTAGAAGCAGAGGATCTTTTGCAGTAAAATCTTGGGAAAGGTGAGAAAAGGCAAGGGAAAGGACACCTGACTTACTTCTTTATGCATTTGGGGGGAATGAGCTAAAGTTACTAGAGCAGGGTTTGGCAAACTGCCTAACCTGCCACTGGTCCTTATACTATAGCCCATCCCTTGTTTTGTTTTGTTTTGTTAGTGGTTTTTCCCCCTATAGGGCACGTGCACTCACCAGAGAGAAAGAAAAAGAGAAAAGCTGTGAGAAAGTGAGAAATCACCCCCCCCCCCCCGGGGGGAAGGCAATGTCATGATCCCTTCTCTATTCTCCTCTCCAGGCTTTGGGCACACATGCACATACGCCTGGTGTGACTCTCAAGCCCTGAGTCTAGGACTATAATGTATAGCCAGCCATGTGGGATCCAGCACCTTAACCTGCAAGCCACCTATTGGCCCTGTGTCTCCTGTTTTTGTAAAAATTTTATTGGAACACAGCCACATTTGTTCATTTGCATATGATCTATGACTGTTCTCATGCTCCAGTGGCAGACTATAATAGTTGTGACTGAGACAATGTGACTCACAAAGCCTAGAACTATCTGACCCATTTCAAAAGTTTCCTGGCCTCTAGACTAGAGATATGAATTTAAACAGGACAGAGCTCAGGTCTCCTATCCTAGGAGAGAAAGTTTTAAAAGGTTTTATATATTTCAGATTTGTTTCTTTTTTTTAAAACCTAATTATATTACCTCTCCTTTAAAAAACGACCTAGCCTGGGAACCAGCAGTTAGCGTAATGGCTATGTCGCTGGACTCCCACGTAGTCGACCGCGGTTCGTGTCCCGGACCCGGTGGCTTAAAACTCACGCCGGGCACGTGTGCATGCGTGCCCAAGATCCTGAGAGGAGAATGGAGGAGAAGGGATTGCGACGTGACCATCCTCCCTGGGGGGTGATTTCTCGCTTTCAGTCTCTATGTCTCTCTCTGTCTGTCTGGCGAGCGCACACGCCCTACAGTGAAAATCTCTCCAAAAAAAGAAAAAAGATAAAAACGACCTAGCCTATTATTGGCTATATAATAGACCATCAGTAAATCCTTATTTGTCTTCCTTGACCTAGTCAACATGTCTCACAAGCCCTTGGTCAAAACTAATGAGATGATAGTGTGTGTGGTTTCATGTGAAGATTTGGTGTTTGGTGCTAGACATGCTTCCTAAATATGTAGCCTCGAGCCACTTAACTCCAGGCCTCCATTCCTTTAACGGGAATAGAATCATAAGACTTCCTAGAGTGTCCAGAACTGTGCCTGAAACACGGAGGAAGTTTTAAAAATGGCAACTTCTAGTATTATTCTGTTCCTCATTTGAAGGCTGACCTAGCAACCAAAGTTGAAAAGATGAGACAGAGTATTCTTGAAGGAGTCAACATGAATCACCTACCACCTTCTGCTCTACTTCCATCACCTACTTTTGTGCCTCCTATGGTGCCTTCTCTCCAACCTGTTTCACTTTATTCCCGAACCATGGGCTCATTGCCACCTCCCCCTCAAGGAAGGAGCCGGGGGTTTGCAGGTTAGTACCTAAGAATTGTCATCCTCAGTTTATTTCATAATAACCTATCCAGTAATTATCACCATGTACAGAATGGACATTTTCACATGTGTCTTATCTCATTTACTTTCTATGCTGTATTGTGGTAGTTTGAAGAGCAGCTTTTTTGGATGGAGGGATATAGCCTGGGAAGAAAATCCACTGACTTCCCGGGTAACTCTTTATAGAGGTCCTTAGGGATTTGACTCTTGCCAGCCAAACTCATGAAGTGACTAATATTGAAATCAGGAGCCCTTCAGAACTATAACCCATAGAAACAGGATCTTCATGGCTTTTGCTAGTTTATTCATTCCTTTTAGGCAAATGTATGGGAAGCTGTAGGCAGAGCTTGCAGGAAAAGCCATGAGAGTAAATGTCTAGTATGACAATGATAGTTTGATGTACCCATTTCCACTCTGGGAGTAGACCTAACACATTTACTTTCTTTCAACTCCAGAAGCATGAAGAGAAGTTATCATCCATGTCCCTAAGAGGATTGCAGTTTAGTGGGAGAAATATATATACACATATGTGTGCACACACACAGACACACATAAATTATGGTGATACCTGAGCTCAATGATGAATAGACTTAGGTAACTCCAATACTAATCCTGATCTTTCAAACAACTTGATCACTAGCGAAACAGTATATTTTAATGGGGATATTTTATCATGAAATAACAAGACTCAAGACCAGCAGATGGTGTAATGGTTACATCGCTGGATTCCCATGTAGTCAACCACAGTTCAAGTCCCAGACCCGGCAGCTTAAAACTCACACTGGGTGCGTGTGCATGCATGCCCAAAATCCCAAGAGGAGAGTGGAGGAAAAGGGATTGCAGCATGACCATGCCCCTGGGGGTGATTTCTCACTTTCTGTCTCTCTATCTCTCTCTGTCTCTCCGGCAAGCACATGCACCCTATAGCAAAAGTCTCTCTTAAAAAAAAAAAAAAAAAACAAAGAAAGAAAGAACAAGACTTTGTGATCAGGTGAGAGTACCATTACTTTAATTGAAGGTGTTTTGTTATCTGTTGCTCTTGCTTTAAAATTAATAAAGCTGACAGGTGAAATTAGTCTTTAAGGGTTACAAAATCCAGTATGGATGCTTAACTGAAGACTTGACTTAGATGAACAATTGTAAAAGTCTACTCTAATACCTTCCTGTTCAGTCAGGTAATGATCAAGTTTTACAAACCAGAGAGCCAGGCATTCCATCACGTTAAAGTGACATTACAGATCTCTTCTTTGAGTCTTTGTGTGCAGATTTTATTGTATAAGTCTCTCTCTCTCTTTCTCTCTCTCTCTTAAAAAAAAAAAAAAAAAAAAACAAAGAAAGAAAGAACAAGACTTTGTGATCAGGTGAGAGTACCATTACTTTAATTGAAGGTGTTTTGTTATCTGTTGCTCTTGCTTTAAAATTAATAAAGCTGACAGGTGAAATTAGTCTTTAAGGGTTACAAAATCCAGTATGGATGCTTAACTGAAGACTTGACTTAGATGAACAATTGTAAAAGTCTACTCTAATACCTTCCTGTTCAGTCAGGTAATGATCAAGTTTTACAAACCAGAGAGCCAGGCATTCCATCACGTTAAAGTGACATTACAGATCTCTTCTTTGAGTCTTTGTGTGCAGATTTTATTGTATAAGTCTCTCTCTCTCTTTCTCTCTCTCTCAGCATTAATTAAGACCAGGTTCTTCAGAAGTCATCCCCATTGCCCCAAATACCAGTGATGTTTAGTCTCTAATTACTGGTGGCCTACAAGGACTGTCCTGCTTCCTGAAAGGCCACAGCTAGATTTCCAAATGCAAGTCTTTCTTGTCCCTCTTATGAGTAGCTGCCACCCAAGTTCCTTGGACTCTCACTTTTATGTAAATAAAGAACTCTTTACTAACAACCTGCTAAATGAATTAAGGGTTATGAACATTTGGTTTCTTTCCATAAACTAAAATTGAAGGCCTACTAGAACTCCATATTCAGAGTTTTTATTCAAAATTACACAAAATAAATTACAAAACAAAACTGTACTATGAGCTCACACCCTCAGAGTTGGAATGTCCTCTCTTTTAAGAAGATATTGTGCCTTCTTGTATTGATTTAGTTATTATTCTCAACTGTTGTTATTCTTGTTTTCTTAATTATAAATTGCTGTTTAGTTCCATTATTTTTAGTTTAGTTTGTCTTCCTTTTTTTTTGTTTTCTAATCCTTCAGTATGTAGTGGTGCATGTTTGTATCAAAAATAATTTTGGCTGAGACCAGCAGTTAGCATAATGGCTATGTCGCTGGACTCCCATGTCGTCGACTGCGGTTCGAGTCCTGGACCCAGTGGCTTAAAACTCACACCGGGCGCTTGTGCGTGCGTGCCCAAGATCCTGAGAGGAGAATGGAGAAGGGATTGTGGCATGGCCATCCCCTCTGGGGGGTGATTTCTCGCTTTCTGTCTCTAAGTCTCTGTCTGCCTGGCGAGCGCACGCGTCTTATAGCAAAAACCTCTCCAAAAATAATATAATAATAATTTTGGCCTATAATTTTCCAGTACTAGATTTTAAGACATTCATTCTCTCAACAAATATTTTGAATTTCTACTGTGTGCCAGGCTCTATTATTGAAAAATAAATTATTCACACCCCCACTTGATATAGTGGATATGTGTACATCTTTTTATTTTTTAAAGGGTTATTTTTATTTAACTTTATTTATTTACTTATTCATTTATTTATCTGGGTGTTTTTGTTTTTGTTTTGTTTTTTGTTTTTTGTTTTTTGTTTTTTTGTTTTTCCAAAGAGGGACAGAGTGAGAGAGAGAGAGAGAAAGTGAGCCACCAGGTCTGGGACTCAAACCGCGTTCGGCCGTGTGAAAGTCCAGCATCCTTAACCACCACACCACCTGCCAACCTCGATATGTGTAGATCTTCAACCCTTTTCCCTTGAATTTGCTTCCATCACGACACAAAATCTGTTGTTGTTGTTATCACAGAATCTTTTTATCAGAGACAAATATAAATAAGAATAGTTAGCACAGAATCTTCTATTCAATCTCTTATCCTACCTTGCATTTGACATGTATTACTACATTATTTCTCTCTTGCCAGGTCTCCATCCAATCCCACCTCAAGGAGGTAAACTGGAGATTGCTGGGATGGTCGTGGGCCAGTGGGCTGGCAGCAGATCATCCAGGGGCCGAGGATCCTTTGGCATGCAAGTGGTTTCTGTCGGTGGGCCAGGAAAGGGGTATGTATTTGAATAGAGGAGGGAATGTATTTGAAAAGAGGAAACATCTATTAAAAAAATAGTCCCAAAAATGTAAGAAAATCTATTTTAACCCCCACAAAGGTTTGTAAAAAAAAGGATAAAACTAAAAATAACCAAAGGTCCCCTGTCTGCCCATGAGGGAAGGGGGAAGACCCAGGCACTGCTGTTGAGCGTCACAGTGACTGCCACCTCACAGCAGGCAGGCAGCAGCCCTGGCACCAAGTACAGCCCTAACCAGACACAGTTGGAACAAGAGTGCCTAGCCGAGGCTGGACAGGCCCAGACCTCGCAGCCCACAGTGGGTGCGCTCTACATAACATCCACAAAGAACTCAATGGGGTTGCCCATGGCCATGTGGAAGCTTTGGCAGCTGGCCGTCAGTTCTGGGGGCACAGAGCCAGGTCTCTGACTGGAGGGGCGCCCAGAGGCTGTACCACTGGAGGGACAGGGGGTGGGGGTGGGGGCATCATGACCACCATCATTGGGTTATAGGGGAGGGCCATGCCAGGGGGTGGCCCATATGGATGGAGCCCTGAGTGGGCTCAGAGATTTGGAGCACCCCCAGTTGAGCCCCTGGATGGGGGAGGGCCTCCATCGCCAGTCCCGCCAGGCTCCCCACCCCATCAAATGCTGCTGATACTACTATGAGCTAGTAGTATCAATCAAGATGCCCTTGGGAAATGTCCAGCTATTAAATCTTTCTATTAAGGTAAGAGACATTAGCTGATTTTCCTTTTTTTTTGGTAAAGAATTATTTATTTAACTTTATTTATTCATTCATTTATTTTTAATTTTACCACATAGAAACAGAGAGAGAGAGAGGTGAGAAAGCAAGCCACTCATTCCGGGACTTGAACTGTGGTCAGCCATGTGAGAGTGTCCAGTGCTTTAATTACCACATGACCCGCTGGTCCCAACTTTCCATTTTTTAAAAAGCCAATTTTCAGTTTAGTTCAGAAACCTTATAACAAGTGTCCTGCCTTGATGAAAAAGAGTGTTTCCCTTAGAGGTAGACAGAAGACACAGAACAATTACACACAATGTAGAAATGACAGAGATAGAGGTTTACAGTGGTATTACAGAGAGGTTACCTCCAACCTAAGAGGATCAAACTTTCTAGAGGCCAAATGTACTTAACCTCTAGAGTGAGTAGTTGGCCAAGTGAAAATGGGGGTGTAAGCCTTATGTTTCTCATGATCACTTTTTCTCCTCCTTGCTAAAGGCATGGAAAAGAACAGACTGGTAGAGGATCCAAAGGACACAAAAAAGGAAATAAACAAGTAAGCATATTTTTTTGAGATTATCTAGCTCCTCTTTGATATCTCTTGCCTTTTCAGCTTAGTTGCTGAAGAGATCAGGTCAGTCATGAAAACCTGAATCATTCAGGGGTACTTACGTAAATTCTCCAGGCATTTAATTTCATTCCCCTACTCTCTAGCTATATAGTTGAAGGTTGGGATGCCCGGTCTATTCCTACAGAACTGTAGAGTCTCACCCTTTTCCCTGAGTGAGTCCACAGGACAGAAACCAGGTACTGTATACTGAGGACCTGTGCCTTGCATAATATGGGCTATATGCAGCCAGAAAAGGGTCCAAATGAAGCACATGGTGAGATTGCCTATATCCTTTTTGAGCTTCTGAGGGGCCACCAGAGATGCTTAGAAAATTGGACTTTTGCCTTTGCTGAGTATGTGGGGAATGTTGCCATTATGCTTATTCTTAATGACTCAAAAAGGTCTTAAACTTTCTTTTAATCTACCCCTTGAATTATTAGGTCATTGGGAAAGTCATGGCATGTATTTCTATGCAAATATGCATCATAACTTTTCTGATGACCCAATATATTACAGTTCATACTGGTCCTCATTAGACACACCCCTTCCTCTTCAAATATAAACTAAAACCTATTCTCATAGTGATCCAAAATCATATTAGACTCAAACTGCTGGATTTCTTCATAGTATAGTACCTTCTTGATTGCCTGCTTCTACCAAGTCCCTTCTGCCACATATTTTAAGTATAGTCTCTAATCCTAGGCAATTCTGTCATCAGTTCTCAATCCTAAATCCACTCACTACATCCTTATTAATATCTACTATCTTATATTTTTAGAGTACAAATTTGTTTTAATATTATTTTGAACTAAAAATGGAGCTATTGGGCCATCAGAAAAGTCATGACATATTTTTTTCTATGCAAAAATATGTCATGACTTTTCCAACAACACAATAAAATATTAAGTTTCCCACACAAAGCATTTTATAATGTGCTCCAAAGCTAGAGAATAATGAGTTTGGGATTTTCCCAAAGCTTCTTAGATTTTTCCAGAAACTGCTCCATAGGGTGAAAAAGGGCTGGCTCTGTGGCTTAGTGGTTAAGGAAGCCAGATCCCACATGATCAACTGTGCAGCTCTAATCCCAACCCCAGTGACTTGAAAAACATGCTGAGTGTATGTGCTTATGTGCCCCAAATCCTGACAAGATGGAGAAATGGAGAAGGGATTGCAAGGTGACCATGCAACAGTAGGGGGTGCTTTCTCCTCCCTCTCTTTCTGTCTGTTTCTGGCAAGCACTTCTGCCCTCTCAAAAAAAATACAGCCACTTCTCACTTAGCTTTTCTGTTTAATGACCACTTGGACTTATGAATAGTTCTCTAACATGAAGAGTCTTGAGAATCCTTTTTCAGTCTTTGTCTTATTACTGCAGTCAGTATTCACTACCTGAAGCATTTGCAATCATGCAAGCCTGTGTATTTTAATAAATTTGTACATCATTGTGCACCCATAGTAGTCTTCAGAATAAATAAAAACATTACACCAGATTTATAGTGTTGTGGTGTGTCTTGTTGCTTTCTGGTGCTTACCAAATGTATGCTTTTTGTATGGATGAAATTGCATTATTCTACTGTGTTGTCAAGTGATATCTATTGACAGATATATACCCTATGGCACCATAACACCAACAAAACATTGCCATTAAGCTCCTCACTTATCGGCCAGTTCACTTAATGACCGAGTCATAGTAAGGAACTCGGTGATTAAGTGAGAAGTGACTATAAATAAATAAAACAATGTAAAAGGGATTGCACCTATAAGGAAAACTAGTCATCTTCAGGTAAGCTTTCATAAGGAGGAACAACCTTGGTGAATTCACTATGATTCAGGGTCTGATCATAAGACATATAGTCTGAAAAACATGATATTATTGGTACAGTAGGGTAGATCCATCTCTTAGTGGTTGACTCACATTAACCAAGATCACAGAAGTAGTTGTGTGGATATGGCTTAGGGGGTGGAGGATAAAAGATTAAGTGCTAATTTTCCATAAGAAGAAATAATTATCACAGTATACTGCACATTTACTCTTTTCTAGTACTTTTACAAATACATATGAGCTCATTGAAAATATATTAATATGGGCCAGCAGGTGGTGTAGTGGTTAAGGCACTGGACTCCCACATGGCCAATTGAAGTTTGAGTTCCAGACCTGGAGATTTGCTTTCTCAGTTTCCCTCTCTGTCTCTCTCTGGTCAGATTAAAATTTAATAAAAATAATAAATAAAATTAAATAAGTAATTCTTTTTTTAATAATTATTTTATTGAACTTTATTTACTTATTTTAATTTGACCAGAGAGGGACAGAGAGAGAGAGAGAAAGTGAGAAAGGAAGACACCAGGTCCAGCACTTGAACCACGGTCAGCCATGTGGGAGTCCAGTGCCCTTAACCACCACACCAACTGCTGCCCCCCTCTTTTTTTTAATAATTATTTTATTGGACTTTATTTATTTATTTATTTTAATTTGATCAGAGAGGGACAAAGTGAGAGAGAGAAAGTGAGAAAGCAAGAGTAATACTTGAAAAAAAGAAGAAAATATATTAATAACATATGAAGTATTTATTATTGCTCATTATTTTTTCTTCAGGGAGATTTTTATAATAAGTCATGTGCAATCACCAGAGAGACAGAGAGAGAAAGTGAGAAATCACCCCCCAGGGTGGATGATCATGCTGCAATCCATTCTCCTCTCAGGACTCTGGGCATGCATGCATACATACACACTCCATGTGAGTCTCAAGTTTCCAGGTCTGGGACTCAAACCACAGTCTGCCATGTGGAAGTCCAACGTCTTAATCGCCACGCCACCTGCTGGCCCCCTCCTCCCCATTTTAAACAGGCAGACTGAAGCTCAGAAGAATAAACTATCCTTGCCTCAAATTATCCATTAAGCTGCTATCAGAGTTAACATTCCAACTTGAGCTGATTCCAAAGCCCTGTGCTATACTGATTCCAGTGCAATTTAACAACCTTGATTGTTAGAGACAAGAGTCAAACTCTGGTCTGGTTGGCTCTAGTACTCATGCTCTCCTCCATTATTACCAGAACTTGCTTTCTCTATGGGCAAGCTGCTAGGAAGGCCATGGTATCAGAAATTTGCTTGCCAACATGGAATCAGAGCAGGGGTATCAGCCAGCATTTATTGAGTTCTTACATTATGCCAGATACAAATTCAAAGCACTTTACTTGGAGTTTCTCATTGAATTCTTACAAAAACCTGTGAAGAAGACACTATTATTCTGTCTCACAGATGAGGAAAATGAGATAAAACGGGATGATAGGTAATCTTTAAGTTTCTCTTGGTCAACGTTGCTATGGGCACTGTTTCCTACTCTAGAGGTAACCTGGCCAAGGATATCCTCTTGTCAACTCTATAGCTAAGGCATCTTTCCTGGAGGGAGCTCTACTGACAACCTTGCTGACTCTCCGTTTTTGGTTCTGTCACCATTTCTTCAGAGTTTGAGATATTTAATCATCCCATCTTATTAAGTCTGATTACACTGTGATACTGCCTTTCTGAGATTATTCTTAAGCCAGTGGAGATTTTGCTTGTTTTTAGGTTTTGCCATAAGGTGTGTGTACTCACCAGAGAAAGAGAGAGAGAGACAGTGAGAGTGAAACAGAAAAATTACTCCCTTGGGGAATGGTCATACTGCAACCCCTTCTCCTCATGTGATTTGGGCATACATGCACACGCGCCCAGCATGATTTTCAATCCAACAGGTCTGGTACTAGAACGGTGATTGAGCATTTGGGAGTCCAGCACCTTAACCACTATGCCACCTACCAACCCCTTGGCATGATTTTTCAAGCCACCATGTCCAGGATTTGAACCACAGTCAGACCTGTGGGAGTCTGGTA